CTCTCCTCTTCCTCCTCTTCCTCCTCTTCCTCTTCCTCCTCCTCCTCCTCTTCCCTCCTCTTCCTCCTCCTCCTCTTCCTCTTCCTCCTCCTCTCCTCCTCCTCCTCCTCCTCTTCCCCTCCTCCTCTTCCTCCTCCTCCTCCTCCTCTTCTTCCTCCTCCTGCTCTTCCTCCTCCTCCTCTTCCTCCTTCTCCTCCTCCTCCTCCTCCTCCTCTCCTCCTCCTGCTCCTCCTCCTCCTCTTCCTCCTCCTCCTCCTCCTCTTCTTCCTCCTCCTGCTCTTCCTCCTCTTCCTCTTCCTCTTCCTCTTCCTCCTCCTCCTCCTCCTCCTCCTCCTCCCTCCTGCTCCTCCTGCTCCTCCTCAGAGTTATATGATGTTTTTCGGTGTGTTTTCAGGTGGATGTGAAGGAGAAGCAGAAGAAGCTGGTGGATCAGCTCACAGGACTCATCAGCAGCGCTCCTGGACCTCCAACCAGGAAGCTGCTGGCTAAAAACCTGGCTACCCTGTACAGCATCGGGGACACCTTCACGGTGTTCCAGACTCTGGACAAATGCAACGAAATCATCAAAAGCAAAGACGACACACCTGCATACCTGCCGACCAAACTGTAAGATACCCCCTGCATTTATTTATTCAAAGTTATTTGAATGGAACAAAAATAGAAAAGAATGTCACCGAGAGTCCTTTGGTGATTCAGTCTCCGAGTTTGAACACTACAGTGATTTCTTAAAGGAGCCGTATGTAACATGGGGAACGCAGGGGGTCAAAAAGACGGCGTGCCGCCCCTTCAGTAGTTTAATATCTGACGTATGAAACAGGTTATTGGTGTTTTATTATCAACTATCAACCAACAGAATAAACCTTTCCACATGTTGTCCAGAGGAGATTAATCAGATTATTGAATTGAGGTTTCATTTTGTGATCTCTAGTTTGGTTTTGATGAACTGAGTCTCTTTTCTTGCAGCGCCGCGGTGGCTTGTGTTGGAGCGTTCTACGAGAAGATGGGCAGGATGTTGGGGAGCTCCTTTCCAGACACCATCAATAATCTTTTAAAGGCGTTAAAGAGTGCAGAGGTAGGACCCTCCACGTCCTCACAGAGGGGATGTTCTGATGTCTTCATTCACAGACAGACAGATTTATAGTTGATCTAAATCTTTGTTTAGTCCCAGGGCCGAGGAGAGATCCTCCTCAGTCTGCAGAAGGTGCTGAACGGACTCGGTGGAGCCGCAGCTTCCTGTCACAGAGATATCTACAAGAACGCTCGCTCTCTGCTCACAGACAGGTCGATGGCTGTGCGCTGTGCAGTGGCAAAGGTAAGAGCAACTAAACTTTTATTTTTCTTCATTACTGTAAAATAAAGTGTTGATACCTATTAATTCATCTAAAAAGTTGGCTGCGTCCTGTTTACCATTATACCAGTAATAATAATAATAATACATTTAATTTGTAACGCACTCTTCATTTTTGCAAAAAATTCTCAAAGTGCTACAGAAAAAAAAAAATAGAAATAAAAAACAAATTTCATCAACAAAGCAACTAACGAATCTAAAAGCACAAGCAGAAGGTTTTGTTAAAAAGCTTTTTAGAGCCCTTTTAAAAGCGTCTGCAGACTGTGGCGCCCTCAGCTGCTCGGGGAGAGCGTTCTACAGACTGGGAGCAGAGGAGCAGAAGGCCCGGTCTCCCATGGGGGGGGGGTTAGTCCTGGGGGGGATGGAGGAGGTTGGTGTTTCCAGAGCGGAGGCTTCCTGTGGAGGATTGTGGGGTGAGGGGGGCATTTCCATGGGTGCACTGGTAGGTGAGAAGTATAACATGTTGACACCCTCCATGGGTGCAGCCGCCACCCTCACCCCCCAGCACGCCACCTGACACGATTGTCAGGTCATTCATTGTGTATAATAAGCTGGGAAACATAGCGATGCTGACGAGGCCATCATCGTGCTCCGTCATGAGGTCATCATGGAGCAAACAGACAGTAAATAAAGGTTGTGGGTGCTGCTGGTCTGACTGAAAGACGCAGAGTCGGGCAGCGTGACTCGCGGGTTGTGTCAACGACATCGTTCATACAGAAATGTCATAAATATGTTTGTTGTGTGAGTTAGGAGAAACTGAAAACGAGATTCACTTTTTGTTTTACTGCCCGATGTACGCTGACATCAGGGATGTTCTTTTTAAAAGAATGTCTTCAATTTATGTTGATTTCTTTTGGCTAGACGATGAAAAACTTGAGTTGTGTTTTAAAAAAGGAATCTTTGTTATAGCAGATTTTGTTTGTAAAACCCGGGAAAAAGACTGAACTGTGACAGGAGCCGGCGACTTTGTAATGTTATGAGTTGTAAATGTGAACCACTGCAACTGAATTCTTTGGTGTCTTATGAGCCCTTTGGTGGTTATTCCCGACCCGACATGTATTAACAGGCCTCCATCTTTGTCCCTCGTCCCTGGTCAGTGTCTGTTGGAGCTGCAGAACGAGGCGGTCTTCATGTGGACCACCGAGCTCGAGAACGTGGCCACTCTGTGCTTCAAAGCTTTGGAAGGCTCTAACTACGGCGTCCGGGTGGCGGTGGCCAAACTGCTGGGGACGGTCATGGCCACGGCGTTGATGCCCAAACAAGCAGCCGGTGTGTTTCCCTTCATGTTCAAGGTGACCGACTTCGTCGTAGACTTTGTTTGTTTACGAGCTCGACGTGTTTTTTTCTCCTCCAGTGATGCGTCAGAACGTGAAGCGGGCGACTCTGGACGAGGTGCTGGAGCTCATGGCCACGGGCTTCCTGCGAGGCGGATCCGGCTTCCTGAAGAGCGGCGGGGAGATGTTGAAGGGGGGCGGCTCCGTCAGCAGGGAGGTGCGGGTGGGCGTGACACAGGTGAGGTCATAGAGGTCATCTCTCTCTTTATAACTGACGTGGTCATCGACATCGCCCTTCACCTCTCGTCTTCCTCCTCAGGCCTACGTCGTGTTTGTAACGACCCTCGGCGGTCAGTGGCTGGAGCGTAACTTTGCCACCTTCCTGTCCCACGTTCTGGACCTGGTGTCTCACCCGCGGGCGACGCAGACGCACGTCGAGGCCGTGTACTCGCGCCGCTGCGTCTCCTTCATGCTGCGCGCCACGCTCGGGGGCTTACTCGGAGAGAAAGCACAAATCGCAGCCGGCAAAGAAATCTGCCAAGCCATCAGCAAGCAGATGAGGGCTGTGGGTAAGGAGGATGGGGGGGAAATATCACGGTTCAGAGCACTGCAGAGTAAGTACTCATCCTTTATTTTCACTTCCTGCATGCTTTGTGTTGACGGAGGGGATCTTCTCACTTTTCTTTTTGCTGTGTGCAGAGATTTCCTTGTTACTGCTTTCCTTCCTGCTTTCTTCCTGTGCATGTTTCTGACCACCACGAGCAGCATCCTAAAGTCTGTAACACGATCCATCAGCAGCTCGGCGCTCCAGCTTCTCATGTTGGACTATTTCATATTTTTGCTGTTTGCCTGCAAATTCACGTTTTGTTATTTGCTTTAAAACCCCTGAGGAGCAGATAACTCCTCATGACTGTTTGTACTGGCTAACAGCAGAAGACAAACTGCATGTGCCCCTAAACCCGCACACACATAGTGCTAACACCCCCCCCCCCCCCAGCTACAGTAACACGTCTTCATATTTGCAAGTTTTTTGTTTTTGTGTATTTCAGTTCCTCCAAATTCCCACCTAATAATTTTTTGACAATCCCCCACATCTCGTTCAAAAAGGATGATTCTTACTCTGATCTGCTTGAAACTGAAACCATCAAACATTTCTATATTCTTACTGATGTTCCTGTTGTTGACTGTGTGCGTCTCTGGAGTCGTGGTTTTTTGGGGCTTTTCACTCTTCTTGCTGCTTCTTGCTTCACGAGCCGACGGGATCTGTGAGACTTTGTCAAATATCTTCACTGAGTGAAAATAGAAAACTGTTTCCTGGAGTCTCGATGGAAGTTTGACCTCTAAAGCCTGGCTCAGACTGCAGGATCATCGGTCCCCCCACTTCTCGACCATCTCGTGGTCGTTCTCGCCTCGTGGCTGCTCGGAGCTGATTAAGTCAGCAGATTGTTTTGTAGTGCGAGTCTGTAGAGTGCGACCTGCTCGGAGATCATCGGGGATGCATGAACCCGTATTTGTATTGAACAAGTTTAATGTTTATGTTTATGGGACTACAATCTCTACAATAACCATGAGGGAGGACAGTAAAAAGTGGACAGGAGTGGAGACCCACGCAGGTGATCACATGTCAAACACCTGACCTCCAGCTCTCTGAAGAACAGACAACTCATGTTGTCCTCGTCTCCCTGACTTTTCTTCAACCAAATGTTTAAAATAAAATGTTTGTGTCCTCTTTGCACAGAGCCTGAAAATAATCACACATTTAACCTCCGGCTCTTCGTTAATGTGAGGTCACGTGAGGTGGTGGTGCCTCCGCCCGGCACGATAACTCTGTAGTGTGAGCACGCAGAGATTACAGAGAAGAAGATCTGTTAAAATGCTCCAGATCCAAAACAATCCAACTTTATTTGTTTAGCACTTTAAAACAACCACAGTTGACCAAAGTGCTGTACAGAAGAATGAATAAAATACAGAACAGCTCACATGAGAGAAAAGAAAACTCCATGTGAAATACAGAATCAAGTTAAAAGACATAAAACATCAGTAACATGAATAGGCACAAAGAAAAGAAATAAATAAATAAGTCGACATCTTACTGTGTGTCAAAGGGAAAAGAGATGGGTGTTAAGATTTAAAAACAGACAGAGAAGAGGCCTGTTTAACGTGCTGAGGTAAATCGTTCCCTCTGAGCTTCCGCCTGGTTTGAGGCCCCCTCAGGAGCAGCTGATCAGCTGAGAGAGCGGGTGGGCGTGTCCGGGTGTAGAAGCTCAGAGAGGTAGGGCGGGGCAAGACCGTTGAGAGATTTAAAAGCAAATAAAAGTATGAGTAACCAGTGGAGTGAGATGATTTTAAAAACCTCCTGCAGCGTGAGCCGGGCTTCAGCGTTTATTCTAGAGTCTGTTTGTGTCACAGCTAAAGAAGGAGATTTAAATCTTCACTATTTTCTGCCTTTTAAAGCTCTGAGGATTTAAGCTCTTCATTCTAGACCGACACAGCAGCTTCAGAGTGATTTACTTCTCTTAATAAGTTTCTGTGTTTTTGTCTTTAGTCAGATTCTTCCTGTTAAATAAAGTCTAGTTTCCTGTTTCACTCTCCAGAAGCTCTGTTTGTGTTTGCAGGGTAAAGCGGTGAAAAGGTTTTGAAGCTTTAGAGACAAAACTTTTGGCCTGATTCACAAAAGATCTTCACCGAGCACCAACACTTTGTGAACATCCTCTGAGCTTTGTGAATCAGACCTGAAACAGAGAGAGAACGTGGTGAATGATCTTTGGAGATTTTAGCGGCTGTGATTTATTCTTTGTGAATCACGTCTGAGGAGTCTTAATCAGCCATTGTTGCTCCTTTAATGATTTAGTTTTTAGGATATTTATCCCGATGTTTGGGACATTTGATCGTGTGGCTGACGTTTGTCGATTCTTTCCGTCTGTTTCAGAGGCCGTTGTGAACGACATCAGCGGGGAGAACAAGGCGGGAGCAGCTGACGTGTCTGCCAGTCAGCACGTGATGGTGTGTGCGCTGAAGGAGCTGGGCAGCCTGGTGCAGAGTCTGAGTGCTACAGCGTCACCGCTCATCACCGAGCCGTCTATAGGTGAGACACCGACCGAGCCGGGGGGGAATCTGTTACCAGACATCATCTGATAAAAAGAAATCTAAAAGTATGACATGTCTTCTTCTTCAGGACTCCTGGAGACCGTGACCTCCGTACTGCTGCACCCCAGCATGGCGGCCCGTTTGGCGGCTGCGTGGTGCCTGCGCTGCGTTGCCGTGGCGCTGCCCTATCAGCTGACCCCGCTGCTGGATCGCTGCGCGGAGAGGATCAACAACCTGAAGAGTTCACCCGAGGCTGTGAGCGGATACAGCTTCGCCATGGCCGCTCTGCTGGGAGGAGTGCACCAGTGTCAGCTGGGAATCCCTCATTCCAAGGGCAAGGTGAGTGTGACATCACGGCGTCCTGTAAGAGGTTTCCAGGTCATGTTAGTGAAGGAACAACCATCAGCTCTCAGGTCATAATTTAAGAGAGATAAAAAACATAATAACAAAAAACAGTCTAAAAACTATAATAATAAACACATGAGAACGCAGATACAAGATGCCAAAATGAGTTTCCTCCAAAGGGTGTCTGGACTCAGTCTCAGAGAGAGGGGGAGGAGCCGAGTTGATCAGGTATCTGATCAGGATCCTCCTGGTCTTCCGAGCAAGCCCAACTGGAGGAGACCCAGATCTCACTGCAGGAATTCTACTGTTTATCCCGTCTGGCCTGGGAACGCCTCGGGATCCCCCAGGAGCTGGAAAACATTGCTGGGGAGAGGGACGTCCCCTTTTCCAAGTTACCTGGCGTTCAAATCCTCTCGTAAAACATAATTCAGGTTTTAAACTTCTTCAACCGCCTGACCGATGGACTTACTCGTGTCCACATTTCATTTTTTCTTTATGCAGAGATGAACGTGCAGCGTGCTCGGGGGTGCTGGGAGGAAAATCTCTGCACATGGGTTCTGTTTCTATAAAGACAAAACTAGCATACTTGTTATATCCTCTCACCCTTTAGCTTTGTCAGGATTATCTGGAATGGCGTCCGTCACTTCTTTAGTCTGAAGGCTTTACAGCACGGAGGGTGTGGGTTACCGCCACGATCAGATGGAGGTAAAAAAAACAAGTCATCACCCGTCCAAGAGCTAGAGTTAGAGTCAGCTGTTTCTAACAAATAATTGACATCAAGTTTATGATTGGTTTCCTGAGAAAGTCTGCGATGACCACGAGAAGAAGTTATGATTGTTTCTCAAAAATAAAACTTTAGTCAACCACATGATGTCACACACTCTCCTCATCAGCAAGGACTGAAAGAGGTGCTATCTTTTTAAGTTCTTTATAGGTTTAGTTTTCTGTGTTATTTTGTCTTGTAGCTGGTGGTGAGTATAGCTGAAGACCTCCTGCGGACGGCAGCTCAGAACAGTCGACTGTCTCTGCAGCGCACGCAGGCCGGCTGGCTGCTGCTCGGCGCCCTCATGACTCTGGGTGAGTCTCTAAAGCTACGACTGCTCCTGAAATTCTCCTGACCTGTTCACACATGAACCTCACAGCAGGAGACTCTCCCTGCAAAGTGTGAAAGCAGCCATCAGACTCTTTCCTCACTTCCTCCCTCTCGTCTCCAGGCCCCTCCCTCGTGCGCTATCACCTCCCCAAGATGCTGCTGCTGTGGAGAAACGTGTTTCCTCGCTCACAGAAGGAGCTGGAGGCGGAGAAGGCCAGAGGAGACGCGTTCACCTGGCAGGTTACGCTGGAGGGTCGAGCTGGAGCTCTGTGTGGTAAACTCACTTTCCTTTTTCCTCCTGTCTGCAGACAACGTCCTCAATAAGACCCCGATCTCCCCAACTGTGACGCACACGTACACCCAGCCCACTTAGGGCTCAAGTATTATTCTCCTTCATACAACAAACTTTGCACATGTCTGTGATAACATCTTGAAGTAAAGTGATGCAGCTCTTTCTTTACACTTAACAAAATTAGATATTCAAAACACAACTTTCAATTTTCTTCTCTTACTTTATTCAGCAGCAGGAGTGATGCTCTTTACTTTAATCTCTACGTAGAATACATTTTGTATTTCTAAACAAACCTTTGTTGAATATCTTTAAATTCTCTGTAACCTGAGCTCGGAGAACTCTGAGGACTAACTTCCTGTTTCTTGGCTCTGCAGCCATGCGGAGCTTCGTGGCCCACTGTCCCGAGCTGCTGACAGAAGACGTGATCCGCAGACTGATGACACCCATCGAATGTGCCATGACCATGATGTCTCAGTGAGTGAATGCATTCATCTGCAGGATCGTTGTTAAGTATGAGTAGTATCATTCACTGGTGTTTCAGACGGCTGCACTCTGGAGGACAGACGCAAATCATCGTCATGTAATCCTGGAACTCATCAGCAATCATTTAATTTTAGTTTTATAAGACACACTTTTAAAATCAATTTTTTCATCTAAAAAGCTGACTGCGTCCTGTTTACCATTATAAACCCTGACAAACGTGCCGTCAGCACCAAGGGTGCAGCCACCACAATCACCCACTGCACCCACCTGAAATGTTTCAAAATTCACCTCCGTTCATCGTTGCTCTCAAGCCGTGGGGATAATTAGTGACGCAGAGCAGGCTGACAGCGCCACTTTTTGAAATCTTCTCTCCGTCATGAGGTCATACTGGTGGTGTACTGATCAGTAAATTAACCTTGTGGCGCTCTCTATTGATTAAAAAAGTCCCTTAATTAAAGTCAACAAGTGACCAGCGGAGGGGGGTGGCGCATCTCGCGGGCTGTCGGTACTTCAGAACTTTCACTGCAGGCTGAGAGCTCGACTGCTGGAGGAGTCACAAACGCCAATACAGACAGTAGCTGCACAAACATCATCACAGGACGACAGTTTTGAGTGTTCCCCCCAAAACAGACAGCGTCTTATATTCCAGATGTTACGGTTTATAATGTCTATTTCCAGATATCTGCACACACAGCTGATAATCCTCTGCTCACAGACTCCATATCCGCTCTCAGGTCGAGTCTTCAGATTGTAAACGGAGGTAATGCACGGAACAGGAAGTCATTTCTAGAAGTCTTTTATCTCAAATCGCTGGTTCAGTCAGAAGCCCTGAAAAGTTTCCCGTCCCTCCCAGAGGATATCTCGTGGTCAAATGGTAGCCAACGTGTCCCCAGACTGCAGGGAGCATGATGCTTTGAGATGCGGAGAGATAATTTTCCTTTTTAAAACATTTTAGGATTTTCATTCGGGCTTCACAACGCATCGTCATGGCAACATGAGCTTTTGCATTAGCCTGTGTGTGATAGTGTGAAAGTGATTATCTTTGTTTGTCCTTTCTCACAGCGTCCCCGCCATCATTAAAGTCCACGGTGCTCACCTGAAAGCGAGCGCAGCGATGGTGAGGCTCAGGCTGTACGACATCCTCGCTCTTTTGCCTCCCAAGACCTACGAAGGTTAACGCCGTCTCTTCTGTTCGATTTCAGTTTTAAAAAAGAAGTTTCAAAAAAAATATAGACGGAGATGGTTTTAAAAAATCTTTTAAATCTTCCTCTTGCAGGCAGCTTCAACGCCCTCCTGAGGGAGCTGGTGGCAGAGTTCACATTGACCGACAACTCGGCCAACACGACCACGTCCCTGCTGCGCTCGCTCTGTCACTATGACGACAGCGTGCTGATGGGGTCGTGGCTGCAGGAGACGGACCACAAGTCCATCGAGGACCAGGTGAGAACTTCATCAGTTATCTGACCAATCAACTGAAGAGAGACAGACAACGTTGAGAGGAGAGAGAAAGGGGGACGACGTGCATCAAAGGGCCGAGGTCAGATTCAAACCCACGGCTGCTGCGACGAGGACCATAGCCTCTGTACATTGGGCATGCAACATAACCGCTAGGCCTTCAGAATTCTGGAGGGTGAAAACGTTATTCTCCTCAGAAAGACGCACGCTGGACTTGAATATTTACTGATCACACTACTGTCCTTCTTTAAGATATTTTTCCAGATGGTTATCTTGCACAGCTGCACAGTTTCTCTTCTTTAACAGATCCTAACCCTGACTCACTAAGAATGGATCGCAGCCGCTAATATCTCCGAAGATTGTTCACCCTGTTCTCCCTCTATCTGCTCCGTCTCAAACTCTGATTTCAAAGCATTTAGCTCTGATGATATTCAGAAAGAAAGAGCAAACTGCTCGGAGCCTCAGTCTCAACAACGGCTCCAAACCTGTGCTGAAGTTTTGATATTCACATATTAATGCAAACTGGACAGGGGATGCTTTTTCTCTTATTCTACTTTGTTTTTTATTCTCTCCATGGAACCAATAAAATAGAATATGTGACTAAATGATTTGATGTTCTTTCTGTGTGAATGTGAACAGCTGCAGCCAAACAGTGCGTCTGGCAGCGGCGCTCTGGAACACGACCCCTCCTCCATCTACCTGCGCGTCCCAGTCGGCGAGGCCATCCCCGGTCCTCTCCCTCTGGGCGTGTCGGTCATCGACGCCTCAGTGGCTCTGTTCGGTGTGGTTTTCCCCCACGTCTCCTTCAAACACAGGTGAGCGCTTTGGTCCTTCCTGTTGAAGTCATCTCGTGGTGATTTTGCTACAAGCTTTGTTTTCACTGTGTTTGTTTTCACTTTGTGTTTCAGGCTGCAGATGTTGGATCATTTCGCTGAGTGTATAAAACAGGCCAAAGGAGTTCGACAGCAGGCCGTCCAACTCAACATCTTCACGGCCGTGCTGAGCGCCCTCAAGGTGAGAAAATAAACTTTCTGTCTGAGTGAACACCTTGACTCTGTCTTATCTTAACCTGGAATGTCACATGTCTTTACCCACTGTCTTCATGGCTGCAGGGTTTGGCAGAGAACAAGAGCACTCTGGGTCCTGAGGAGGTGCGTAAGTCGGCTCTGGCTCTGGTGATGGGAGCGCTGGACAATCCAAACCCCATCCTTCGCTGTGCAGCCGGGGAGGCTCTGGGCAGGATGGCTCAGGTGGTGGGAGAGGCGACCTTCATCGCCAGGATGGCACAGACCAGCTTCGACAAGTAAGAAATATCAGCTCAAGACTTTGTTGTGTTTTCCTCAGTCTTATCATTATCGTCTTTTTCAGATAAACCTGATCTGAGCACCAACATCCAGACTTCTCGCCACATAGCATCGTCATAGTGAAGCTTTAACCCTTTGACTTCCACACAATCCATTTAAAATTGTGTTCCTGCCTCTTCGTTAAGCAACATTTCAGGTTCTATTTTTCAGATTACCCAATCAGGAAGCAGATCTGCAGGTCAACCAGCTGGTTGTCTGTTACAATGTTACAATTCACTTAGCAGACGCTTTTATCCAAAGCGACGTACATCAGAGAGTAATCCAGTCATACACCACCACTGAAGCAGCGGGAGCAATGCGGGGTTAAGTGTCTTGCCCAAGAACACATTGACATGTTGCTCAGCTGGGGATCGAACCCTCGACCTTGCAGTTGAGAGGTGACGACTCTACCAACTGAGCCACAGCCGTCCCGTTTAGGGTTACTTTGGATATGAATGGATTTCTTTCATTTCTGCAACAAAATCTTTAGTTTTTTATAAACATCACAGAGAGAAGAACTTGTTAAAATAACCTATAATGTACAAGTATATATATATATATGTGTGTATAATTAATTTAACAGATTGAATGAGTAGCAATGGTTAGAAAAGGTGAACAAAATAAGAAATGAGTGACTTGAGCCAGGCCGCGTAGACTCAACCGAGCGGTCGACCATGTTTTCTGAGGAATCATAGATATATATTTTATTGTCAAATTTATTTCCTTCAACTAAAATATGATTGTTAGAGGGTCTATAAATGATTATTTTTTTTTACCTGGACGTTTGCTCTTGTTCTGTGAGATTTCTGAGGAGCTGTGCAGCGCAGAGTCACTCCCGGTATTTTCCACAGTTTTAAGACAATGATAATGATGTACAGCAGCGCCACCCATTGGACATAATCAGGGTTACATACACTATTCACGTGGTTACAATGCAAGTCAAAGGGTTAAAGATGTTTTTAGGAAGATGGATGTGACCGTCCTCACAATCTGTACATTTCACTGCTCCATCATCGTGATCTGTAGCCTTCCTCCTCCTTCATTTTCAGACTGAAGTCGGCCCGTGATGTCGTATCGAGGACGGGCCACTCGCTCGCTCTCGGCTGTCTGCATCGATACGTCGGAGGAATCGGATCAGGCCAGCACCTGAAGACCAGCGTGAGCATCCTGTTGGCTCTGGCCCAGGATGGATCCTCTCATGAAGTCCAGGTAGAGTGACTGACAGCTGGGAATAGTTCAGCTGAAGTCCGATCTTCTGCTCCACTCATTTAAAATTCTCTCCATCCTTCTTCTTCTCCCCCAGACGTGGGCTCTGCACTCTCTGGCTCTGATCGTGGATTCTAGCGGGCCAATGTACAGAGGCTACGTGGAGCCGACGCTGTCTCTGGTCCTCACCCTGCTCCTCACTGTGCCCCCCTCCCACACCGAGGTGCATCAGTGTTTGGGCCGCTGCCTGGGAGCGCTCATCACCACCGTGGGACCAGAACTTCAGGGTACCTGTCAGAGAAACTCAGAGACCTCTTTATCTGAATCTGAGATTATCAGACTCTTTTTCAGGGCACAGCTGCACATTTGTCCAGCCTGCAAATCTGCAAAAAGTTTACTTGAAGTAAGGGTTAACGTGTCTCTACCTTGATTTAGAAGTCCCGCCCTTTCCTCTACCAAAGCCCACATTTAACATCCTGCTAAAAGGTCAAAGGTCACTCCGGTGGGAACAGCTTCTTGAGTTTTTTTTTTTCAGCAGACTCTGATTGATATGGAAAGTTCAATCACTACTGTGTTTGTGTTTGTAACTGCTCCTCTCCAGAAACGCAGGAGCCTCATTGGTCAACAGAGCTGTCAATCATGACATCAGACTCCTTTTTATATAATCAAATAACTAATTTAAACATGAACACTGGGGCGTTAATCAGCCTGATGAGAAACATCTATGATGACAGAAACATGAATCTTTATAGTGTCACCCATCTGTTAACATGGAGGAGGCGGAGCTTATCACCTTTATCTATCTTATTCATCATAAAGTGGTTTTCTTTTGGTCTGTCTTCCTTATTGATGCCGTTTGGTTTGCCAGGAAATGGAGCCACTATCTCCACGATCCGCTCGTCCTGCCTGGTCGGCTGTGCGATCATGCAGGATCACTCGGACTCCCTCGTGCAGGCGGCCGCCATCTCGTGTTTGCAGCAGCTGCACATGTTCGCTCCTCGCCACGTCAACCTCTCCAGCCTGGTGCCATGTCTCTGTGTAAGAAACTCTTAAACAACGAGTAAGAAGTGTTCTCCTTGTGTTTATTCCTAATCCCTTATGTGTAATGAAATCCCTGCAGGTGCACCTGTGCAGCTCTCACCTGCTGCTGCGTCGTGCCGCCGTGGCGTGCCTGAGACAGCTCGCTCAGAGAGAGGCTGCAGAGGTGTGCGAGTACGCCATGAGCCTGGCCAAGAGGGCGGGAGACAGCAAAGACACGACGATCAGTGAGTACAAAGCATCATGGCCCTGACGACGCCGCTCTGTGTGCTCAGCGTGCCTCAGTGTCTGACTCCTCCCCCTTTAGAGCTCAACATCACAGAGACCGGTCTGGAGGGAGTCCTGTTCGGCATGCTGGACCGGGAGACCGACAGGAAGCTGTGCTCTGATATCCACGACACGCTGGGCCACATGCTGTCTTCTCTCGCTGTGGAGAAGCTTTCTCATTGGCTGAAACTCTGCAAGGACGTCCTGGCAGCAACTACAGGTAAATCTACAAAACATGAGTTGGCTTAAGAGTTGACATTGTACTGTGGTCATCTTTTGTAAACAGGAACAACAGATGGAAATTAGTTAGCTAGCTAAATCTGGTACAAAGCATCTCTTCTCTTCTGAGACTAATGGTTTTTTTTGTACGCTGTCCCTGATTCAAATAAACGATTAAACTTAAACCCCATTCCTGCCTTCTCCCGCCCATCCCAGTTAACCCCATACCACCCACCGAGTCAGGAATCCTGCTCCCACTCCGAAGGTAGCCTGTTTCCACTGTAGCCTACCCAGGAGTCTCATTCACACTCATGCATACAGGACAAGGAGCAAGAAGAGAGAGGACAAAATAAATTAATAAAGTAAATGAAGAAAAAAATAAATTTAGAAAATAAAATATAGAAATAAACAAAACAGACACAAAACAAAACGAAGCAAAACTTCAAGATAGTTCCTTAAATAATTCCATTAGACATTCAATCTGCAGGGTAAGACAACATAGATGAGGTTTTTATTTTGGGGGGGGGGGAGAGAGAGAGAGTTCATCTCTCATTCATTATTTTCCTCATTGATAGCTAGGACACAAACATGCAGAGCGGGGGCGGGACTTGATGTTGAGTGTCATGACTGCGTCCTTCTTTTCTCCCAGACGTCGGGGGGAGCCGTCGTGTTTGAGGTGGAGAGAGACGAGGAGGACTCTGAGAAAAAAGACGAGATGGACGATGACACCATGTTCACGGGACTGGGCGACGACGACAAGTCCAAACCCTCTGTGGCGCCGCGCTGGGTCACGCGTGTATTCGCCGCGGACTGCTTGTGTCGCATCATCCTGCTGTGTGAGAACGACAAAGCACACTTTGACCTGGCAGCTGCACGCTCCGCAAAGGCCAAGAACCCAAAGGTACTCCTCCTCCTCCTCTCGTGCACGCTCACACATCATCCAGCTTCACACAGTTTATTATTCACGACCTGCAGCAGAGTGTCAGCTGCTGGAAACTGCTCATTCATGTGCTGTTACATGATGAAGCTCGATGAGTCAGCAGACGTGGGAGTCTTTTCCTCTCTCACTGTTATTTATATAAACTTCTCCAAACGAAGAGGCACTCTGCAGGCTAGACAGTAATAATAGCACCCTGACGTGTTTCTGCAGCTCGGGAAACAGCTACGCTAAATTCTGTGATTAGTGTTAGTGGATGTTCTGTGTCCGGGCAACCGGCCCAATTTCCCATATGGATACATTTGAAACGTGAAAACAAATCTGCCATGAAGGATTTCAACATTTCTCAGACAATGTATTGTAAAAAGTGAAGGTGCACAATTTAAACAAAGGAAGTGCATGTAAGTTGTGTAAAATAACTCAAATCAAGTTGAATCAAGTTGTTGTCCTGAGTGAAAAAAGTAACAAACAAACAAAAAAGGTCCCTTCATGAAAGGACAATAAAAAGTGCTGCAATTGAATTATTTTCATATCATGGAAAATTTAGCAGGGGCAGAGAGAGATTTCTCCTGAGATAACATTGTCATTAAAAAAAGAACTAGAAGTATGGTACAAAGCAGCACAGTCCTCCATATGACTCTATGATGAGAATATGTGTGTTTGTATCAATGAATCTCAAAGTGAAGTAAAGAGAGGAGAAGAACATCCTGGAGAACAGGAAACATGCAGCAGCAGGTTGATTAGAGCACGGAGATGGTAGAGGTGGCGTGCAGACAGTCTATGGTCGTGCAGCGATCACAGGTGAATAAAGGTCACCACCCCCCCCACTGGCCCCTCCCACTGGCCCCTCCCACTGGCTCCAGGTGAATTCTCCTGATTATATCCTGCTGTGTTCTCACATCAGCTCACTCTGACTTTCTGCAGAATAAACACGAGGAGGCTGGAGGAGAAACTCGAGATTAACGTTCACTAAAAGTTTAAAAACGTTTCTTTTATATTTGTATTAAATTTCCAGCTCCTTCTCACTGAATCTAAGGTGATAAAGCGGACAGAAACCTTGAAGAAGGCGCTGTTTAACCTTCCTGCAGCCGTTAAAATCTTCTTTGTACTGTGTCTGTTGCTCACACACTTCCTGTTTCCCTCCAGGCGATCTGCTGGTTCTGCATTTGTCCGACCTCATCCGCATGGCTTTCATGGCGGCCACAGACCACAGTAACCAGCTGAGGATGGCCGGCCTGCAGGCGCTGGAGGACATCATCAAAAAGTTTGCGTCCGTACCGGAGCCTGAGTTCCCCGTCACGTTATCCTGGAACAATACCAGGCCAATGTGAGTCAAACGCTGCAGATTTCAAAATGAACAGCAACAACAAAAACCACAGGAAGTGACATCGTTCATGTTTGTGTTCAGGTGGGAGCTGCACTCAGGCCGGCTTTTTCTCCTGATACACCGTCTGACATCACAGCCAAGGCCTGCCAGGTAAGACTTCCTGTTCTAGGTTAGCGCTGACCTTTTGCACTTTGCCGCTTTGACATTCCTCTCTCTCTCATCCGCAGTCCACTCTGTCCACTCCCCTCTCTACTTAACCCTCAGGCATCAGTTTCATTTACGACCCTCTGAAGTCACTAAGGACAAAAATGTCCACTTCCAAAAAACTGATATAAAAATAGAACAGATTAATATCTAAAAATAGAACAGATTGATATGTCTCCATATTTTCAGTGCATTTGTGAAAACGTCTTCACTCTGACTTTCTGTGACCTTGACTTCTTGCAGGTGTGCAGCACGTGGATTGGCAGCGGCGTAGTCAGTGACCTGAACGACCTGCGGCGAGTCCACAACCTGCTGGTGTCGTCGCTGGACAAGGTGCAGGCTGGGAAGGGCTCGTCCAGTCAGCTGTATAGCGAGAGCGCCACCACCATGGAGAAACTGGCCGTGCTGAAGGCGTGGGCGGAGGTGTATGTCGTGGCCATGAACGTCAAAAAAGAGGCGGAGTCTAAGCCCGCCAAACCCGTCCGAAGTGTAGATGACGACGAGGATGATGACGATCTGGGCGCCGACGTGCTCCGCCCGACAGCCTCATCACGCTGGTGCAGCCGGAGCTCCCGTCGCTGAGCCGCCTGTGGCTCGCCATGCTGAGAGACTACGCCCTGCTCACTCTGCCCGCGAGTTCTCCAGTCAGCTGCCGCCTGACGGTACGAGAAAGTTACACGATACGCTCTTACGTCCACATTTTATATCCTACATCGAAATAATGAAATCAGAGAAGTGAAAAGTAAAGAGGTGTGTGTGTGTGTGTGTGTGTGTGTGTGTGTGTGTGTGTGTGTGTGTGTGTGTGTGTGTGTGTGTGTGTGTGTGTGTGTGTGTGTGTGTGTGTGTGTGTGTGTGTGTGTGTGTGTGGTGTGTGTGTGTGTGTGTGTGTGTGTGTGTGTGTGTGTGTGTGTGTGTGTGTGTGTGTTTTCAGGTGGAGCGTTTTACACTCCAGAGACGATCGACACGGCGAGGCTTCACTATCGCGGCTCGTGGGCTCCCGTCCTGCACGCCGTGGCGCTGTGGCTGAGCAGCACCGGGTTCGGAGCTGAAGAAGAAGAAATCCTCTCAGCAGCTTCGAAAAGTCCCGTCCTGACTCAGGGCGCCTCCTTAACCACGAAGACCTTTGAGGAGTCTGTGGAGGACAGGATGCATCTGATGCTGGGTGAGCAGAGTCATATATGCAGTTTCTCTGTTACAGTCGAGGATCCACCTCATGAGAAGCACCAACACGCCCTGAGTGCATTTCTGTGTTCTGTCTCTCAGGTATCAGCATCGAGTTTCTTTGCTTCCCCCGACCCGAGGAGCCCATTGAACATGTGATGTCCTGCCTGCAGGCCCTCTTCACTCTGCTCGAGTCTCCATGTGCCAAGTCTCACATCGCAGGGGACCAGGTGAGGACACGGGTCAGAGTGTAGGAAAGGGGGGTGCAGGGGAAGATCTGTAGAACCCAGATATAAGAAAGTGAGCTGTGTAGAGAGTGAGATGATAAAGGTATCTTACTATCTGATCATTAAGGAAACATGCTATGTTGAAGTGCTGGCTTCTCTGACAACAATGCAGCAGCCAGTATGTCCTCCTTCTAACTTTAGATTCTGCTCCTGAATGCTCTGGATTTGTTTGGACCAGAGAAGGTAGGCGCTTTTAAGACACCCCCCCCCTACACGGCCGTTTTGGACGCCCCTCGGTTTGTCAGTTATGAGAGCAGTTATCAGGTCAACAGGTGTTGCAGTGATGGAAGCGGTCAAGAGAAGTGGTTCAGATAGAAGTGATTGTACCCGACCTAAAAAGCCTCTGCATGTTTCTAATAAGCTCCACGAGCAGAAACGTGCTCAAACTAGGATCAATATTGGAGATGCTTTTGAAAAATGGAGAGAGGTTAGAACACAGAAAGGTTTACAGACCCATGCAGAGCTGGATAAACACTGAAGCTTCAGAGTCCACCACATGGTGACCTGAGTGAGCATCCACTCTAGAGAGGAGGGGGGGGGACAGCTCTCTATGATGTTTAGAATTTAGACTGCAGTACTCATTTTAAACACTAGGTGTCAGAGTTAATATTAATATACACATATCTTGCCAGTTAATTTCTTTATAAAAATCTTGTTTTAATCTAAATGTTTGATCCAGAACAAACAGGTTGTCTCCATGATGTCCATTGAGCCAGTGTTTCATGGTGGAGGTCACAGTAAATGTTTCTGTTGTAGTTATTGGCGGTGGAGCTCCTGAACGTGCTGCACAGGCTGCTGCTGACCCGAGAC